GCCGGAAAACTTTGAACTAGGCATTTTGTTTTAACACATATCATAGTCACTTCATTTACTCCTTATTGTAAGCGGATGGAAGATCTTCTGTACAGGCACTCGGTGTAATACAGGAATACAAAAAAACATTGACGAATATAAGTTTGAAATTTTTATTTTCAAAATTAGTTTATATTAGAACAGAAACTAAATGCGTTTTTCGAAAAGCTCGCTGCAAGAATTCATCTTTAATAAGGTGGAGCCTAACTGTGAAATTTCGTTGCTCCTAAGAGGCTAAAATTTGCAATTGTTCCAATAGTTTACACTATTTTGATTTTTATATTTCTTCTCGAATCTAGTTTAGAAAACTTGGAGCCTATTTGTTACATGTCTTAGCTCTTGAAAGCTAAAATCAAATTAGAAAAGTTCGCTCCAACTACGTGAATCGAATTGAAATTTGGACCCTAACGACAAAATATCTAAGTTATTGCAGCCTAATTGATTAGATTCTATTTCTCAAAAGCTTGGCGAGGTTATTTTAAGAATTTTGGAGCCCGATTATAATAAATGTCCTAGCTCTTGTGGCTAAAATCAAACTCAAATGGTATGTTCCCATAATTCATTTTTTTAATCCCAATTTATTTCAAAAATAAAAATTTCTCAATCTGGAAATATTGCACATTGTCTTGGCAAAAATTTTATTTCGTTGCTTTTGCATCCTGTTTCCTGTGTTACATTTGAAACTGGTGGCTTTAAAGATCTTTTACTTCGAAAAAGATATCATGGCAAGCCAGAGGCTAATAATAAAAAAATGAGCCGACTTAAAAACAAACTTTGAATTGAAAAAAATTTATTATAATATCTCTGATTGGACGCTCTAAAGTTTGCCATGATACTCTTTCATTTAGAACGCCCACACATCACCTCGTGCAAAGAGTCGAAGTATAAAAATATGTTGGGATAAATTTTTAGTCTGTTTTGATTTTTAAGAGTGAAAGAGAAATTGTCGATTACTCTTCAGTCTTTTTGCACGAGATGCTGTTTAATAATCTTTTGGCGGGAATTTTTTAAAGGAAGCCTTAAGATTTTTGTCGAAAAAGTAGCCAGGAGAAACTCTGTGCAAATTGGTCCAGATTTTCCAGTCAACAGTCTTAGTGTATATATACGAAAAATTTTTCTTGACACCTTTTTATTAACTAAATTAGAAATTAATTAATTAACTTGTGATTGAAGAGAATTTTAAACCAAATAAAGAACTTTATTGAGAATAAATGCTTGGTTTACTGAGTACATATTGTAGGACAGTAAAAGATGACAAAAACTGATGTCTTTATTTACCACTAATACAAGAACATAACCATTTAGTTTATCAGCATTATTAAATAATAAATTTGATTTAAAAAAAAAAACTGGCGCAGGCGTATTTTAAGCGCCGTATTTTTTCTAAGTCTTTTGGCGGGAAAATCCGCCACATTTGAACAGATGAAGAAAAAATTCACCATGCGTAGTATAAGCGCCCATACTTTTTTAAAAGTTTTTTGGCGGGAAAATTTTTCTTTCGAACGGCTCTTAACATGAATTGAACTGACAAAAATTACGAAATAACTTTTCAGTCGATTTTGGCGTTTGAATCTCAGATCTGACTCAAAATGTTGTTGTTTGTTAGGTCTGTACCTCTGAATAAATCGTTTTTTTCTCTCGGATCATGTATTTCTTGTTTGATTCGTGCTTGAAGCATTTGGGATATTCACCAGTCAGCCTGCAAAATAAAAAAAGATAAACCATGAACGAAAAAATGATGGGAACCTTGTTTTCTCAAGCGATGATAGTACAATGTTGGATTAGTGCAGAAGCACGTATTTTTTAATGTTGGACAAGTAAAATTCAGCGTTTAAATCTTTAGGTAGTGTGACTATACAAATAAATGAGAAAGTAACCTGGATTTTAATGATTTATTCCAATAACTTCGAGGAATTGTGTTGTAGCTATTCTCGTCGAAATGACCTCAAATTAAGTTCATTTCAGGCATTAATCCATTTCGTTTTGAGCCCAAAGCTTGTAACTTCAGTCAAGCAACAACAAGCTGTTATTAATCTATGTTCGCCAGAAATTCCTCTGAAATCACGAAGGAATTCTCGTGCAATAATGGCACAAATTTACTTTCTGTATCTCTGATCATTCGTAAAGTGACTGCTCAGATGAAATACAGTGCTCTTGTTGAAATATTCTACGAGAAAGCCAAAAAAGTAAAAATAGAAGTATGCAAGTCTTAAGGTCGGCATACACGAGGGGACTAGTCCCTGCGACTAGTCCCAGCGACCAGTTTCATGCGACTAGTCCCTTCGTGTGAACTACACATTTCTGTGGTCGCAGGGACCAAAATTTGGTCCCTGCGACTGGTCGCACGAATTCAAACTGGTTTGAATTTGTGAGACCAGTCGCAAGGACTTGTCGCACGAAACAAATGTTTGTCCCTTCGTGTGAACTGTTTGTGCGACCAGTCCTTGCGACTAAACGGTAAATAAGCCAATCACGGGCCAGTATGATGCGTGACTTCCGGTATTTGTAAACATTGCAGTTTTTATGAATTTTCCCTGAATTCTAGATTTCCACAACTGAAGAATAAAAAACTATTTCTAGTTTTGTAAACATAGACAGATGTCTTGGAGCCATTTTAATGGAATTTTTACCCTATTTGGCTCCGTGTCTGTTAAAAATAAAAAAAAAAAACAAAAACGGAACATGTAAAAGCGTGAATAATCCGACTGAATAAGTGTAGTTCATTTGCGTTGATGTTTAATGGTGCTACAGTGAAAAGTTACCAAATTTTCATTGTTTTCATGTAACGCCCCAGACTAAGAAACATCTTTTGCCTCTTAATTTTCCTCAATTGAATGTCCTCGTGTGAACGCCTTAAGGGACTAGTCCCTGCTACAGGTCCCCTCGTGTAAACCCTTCAAAGACTTGTCGCCGGGACTAGTCGCACGGACTAGTCCCCTCGTGTGTGCCGACCTTAAAATCCTGATGCGTGTGAATTTTTACGAGTTCATAAAATGCGAATAACAAGTGAAAATGGCTAAGTGGCGTGTTGCCAACAATGGAAAGCTGTAAATTGCTCCCTTGACAAAATTTATTTTGAAAATTATTCTTTCATAAATAGCTTTGGTGAAAGTTATGAAATCAAGCTATCAATTTCTTTCATAGATTCGTTCACGATGAGCATCTTTGAACTGATCAAATTAAAAATGGATTTGTTCGGTGTTCTACAACTGTTAACCCTCCAACTCCCAGAAGTGATTAACATGTAACTTCTCTCTTCAACATCCATACATAATCCAGCAAACAGGCAAGGAGAATACTCAAACGTATCAGGTGGGAGTTTTTGTCCTCATCTAACATCAAACTCCTGTAACTAATTCACAAGGAAACGTGTAGCAGATAGAGGGGAGAATCAAAAACCACATCTTGGAAGTTAAAGTGTTTAGAAAAGCCATTTGATGCAGGGGTACAGAGATTTAGATTAAGATGGCAGTAAATACTTTACAGTTCTTGTCTTCATTAAATAAGTACATCCCACACATCAAGTCGGATCTCAAAATTTGTTTTGAGCTTCCAAACTTTTCCATTCAAATATTTGCTAACGATGCCTTTTATACTTAAATCTCTTTAATGATGCTATAAGCACCTCCAACTGATATGGCATTGGTTAAAGGACGAGTTTTTCTTTGTGTCAACTTTAACAGCAGTTTTCTCAAAACTGCCTTTTCGTTGTAGTTGCTATCTGCCCCCCACCTTTTTTTTTACCTCAATTTATGACCAATTGTTGTGAAAATTGGTATGGGCTATCATTTTAATGTATGCTGTGATCCTATGGAGCAAAATTTGATTTAGTTAAACAATTGAGGAGGTATTAGATCAACATCCTTATAAGGAAGTGTTTGGTTGCCATGGTAGCACCAAAGACCCAATCCTTAGTCCGCTCCATAGGATCATGGCTTAATCCATGGTAGTTATGCCTGAGAAGTTATAACCATTTTCCATATTTTCTGTAGGAAAAAAGTATGGCGGTG